AAACACCTACAGCTCCTCACTGAAAGTTAGCAAACTTGTGTAGAAACTTCATTTCAGTTTTATGATACTCTAATTTATTAAACAGGCCCAATGATCTGAATTTTCCAGGAATTACATTGTCAGGAAGAACAAAACTCTTTATGTTTAGCCCCCATTAAATGCAAAGAGGTAACTATGCCTTTATCTATAGCAGAAGATATATAAATTACTATCTAGTTATCACTAGAAATGGATAGTTGTAGAAACACAAAAAGACATATTTAAAGTCCACACATCGGGGATTCTCTTGGGGCCATCAGAGGGTAAATAGAGAAAAATGTACCTTTAAACAGTAGTTTAATCTTGGTTCCAAGGATAATAACTTCTTACCATTAATTAGCAACAAATTAAGAAATATATTCCCTTAAATCGCATTATCGCCCCACCCTGAGAAATGAAAGTCTTACAAAGGGTGGGGTGAGGCATAGGTTGCACCATTCTTTCCATTGTCTTGCATAAATGGAGCAACCATGTAAGACTATGCTGATTTAGCCATCCAGCCCTAGGAGGGTTAGAAGTGCTGGGTGTTGTAGCCTTAGAACAGCAGTACAAACTACAAGCTCTTGAGCAAATACTGTTCATTTAGTGTCAGAGGTGACAGAGGCACAAATGGAGACAAACCAGAGAACGAGGTATTCTCCTCTAGGTCACTAGCTGTACTAGGTGTATGCTGTTCAACTCAGGACCTTGTGAAGTCGAACTGCTGGGTAACTTTGCATGAGATGTTGTTGTCAAACATTAAAATACTGAAGTACTTAAAAAGGATTTTACAATTCAGAGTAAAATTAAATATTAAGTAGACAATGAGCATTCCAAAACCAGAAAGTTTAACTGGCTTTAATAAGCATTGAGATAACTCAAGTAAAATATCACAGCTGGGCAACAGAGCATATTACTCATATTTCACAAATGATTTCCCAATGCAAACAGCTAGAATCAAATCAACTGGATTAGAATCAAGGTAAGTTGTCCTATGCATGCATAATCATGTAATATTATCTTTAGCACTCAGTCACATCCAACTTTATTGTAAATGGCTGCTGCAAAAGCCTACTCAATCATACTATGAACTGACTCACCCCATGCAGTGTTGTCCAAACTCTTGAGCTGCTCAAGGTAACATTCCGGAACCATCTCAGATAGTGCCGGGTAGTCAGTGACTCACACTTATTGTACTAAATGCTAAGCTCTGACTCAGAGTCAACCCTATTAGTTGCTGACTGACACTGTATGTATTTGAAAAGAAGCTCACATTGTGAGTTGCCTGGTAGTGCACTGAAAACCAATCCACAATATTCCCAACTGGACAGTGATTCACATTATAATCATTTTGGGGCCTGACTTAACACACATAATTTTAAAACTCAATTCTGATGAACTGGCTTGGGAGCATGCTAGAAAATCACTCCCCGTTTAATGCCCTGCATTTCTGTCTAGGAACATGTGGTGGGTATACAGAGATACAAAGTCAAGGATAAGACATCCAGTTTATGCACTAAAGAAAAATCAAGGTTTCCTGCTTCAAGGATGCAGGCACAGTTCCTAGAAATGCCTTTTCTGGAAGACACCATTCCTATAAATAACTTTGCAAAACCACATACTCACTTGAAAGGCTCTGCCATGGAATTCCTGAACTGCCCATGTGAGGGCTTGGACCTTTAAGCCACTGCATCTGTCTGTGTTAGGTGAATGTCACTGCCACATGCAGGAATGAAAGAACACTAGGATTACAGAAACTGCTATTCAAGTGCCTGGAATGAAACCAGTAACCAGGTTGTTGCTCTAAAATAAGAAAGTTTTTTTCACGTCACTCTTGCTTGTCCACAAAATCTGGAATAATAAAATATTCTTCTTTATAATTTTTGAAGGCCTTTCCTAAAAAGCTCTTTTACAGGAAAGACCTTCTAAGCCGGTAGGAAGGAGATTTTAAAATTTTAAGAAAAGCTCAAAAATGATTTTTCAAATGTAAAACTGTTACAAGGGATTAAGAGAATATGCAACCAAATGTATAGTCCAGTGAGACCTTAAATTCTAATGCTGGCTCTGCCTCTAGCCTGATCTATGACCTTAGCTTACCTTAAGCAAGTCATGTGGTCACATCTTCTGCTGTGAGGGACCATGAGGAAGCTGTGGAGTAACAGCAGCCACATCACTGCCTGGTCTCACTTACGTTGGAGATAACACATTTGTATATTTTCCCATATATAATACCTCTGATTTCCTATCTGCTAAAAGTTCATCAGTTTGTAGGAAATCATCAGTGTGGTGCCGAAGAGCCCTGGGGAGTGACTCAGAAGACCTAATTCTAATGCTGTTTCAGCCTCCACTTAGCTGGAAATCTCTGGCCTGGGCCCTTGACCTTTCTGAATGTTTTCTCATGTGTAAAGTGGAGGAGGTGAAATTAGTAACCTGACTTTTATCATTCGGTATTCTTTTATTTAAACATAGAGTTTTATTGATTTCAGAGAGGAAGGGAGAGGGAAAGAGAGATGGAAACATTAATGATGAGAGCGAATCATTGATTGGCTGCCTCACATTGAGGATCCAGCCTGCAACCCAGGAATGTGCCCTGACCTGGGACGGAACCATGACCTCCTGGTTAATAGGTCTATGCTCAACCTCTGAGCCATACAGGCCAGGCAGTATTCTTGATATCAAGGGCATTTGGGCTAAAATGTTTGAAATGATCTTAGAGATGTCAGCATTTCTAGCTCTGAAGTTACAATATTTTCATGTAGATGTTGGGTTTTTATATAGACCATGTCCTAATGTGTATTTTTTATGCATATCTGTTTTTACAAAGTGAAATATATTCAAGGTTAGAGATAATTTTCTTAAAATGATGTTTAAAATCTTGCATGTAAATATTTCATAACTATTTAAAAGAAAAGGGCCTGGAAGATGTAGAAATGCATTGTTTTTAAATTTAGATACTGGCATAGAAAATATTTACTGTTTTTTCTAGTAATTTTCATGATGGACATCCACTTCATTGTATGCATTTTCCCCTTATCTGTTTTACATTTTGAAGTTTACTTGGTTAATTTAGCATCAACATAATAACAGTAATAAAAGCTTGTGTTTGATATATACCAGAATTCTACTATATTAATTTACTGAATTCTGGCAGCTACCCTATGAGGTAGGTACTTTTATTATCCCCAGTTTGCTGATGACAAAACCAAGGCCCCTGGAAGTTAAGTAACTTGCCTAAGGTCACACAGCTAGGCTGGAATTTGAAACCAATCACACAGCCCAGGACTCCTACCCATTAGGCAGTATTGCCTCTCATATGAGTTGCTGATATGTGACACCAAAGATGCCACTTAATGAACAGAAGATAAACAGGATGAAGCCACGTATAAAATTAGGCTATGAGCAAAAAGTAAGACTTTACAGAGTCATTTTATTCCACGCGTCCTTACCAAGTCCTGGGAGGGATTCAGGCTGTTTTGTGAACGCGGACGGTTATTTAGTTAATTCCACAATCTGGAACCCCTAGAAGTGAAATGAAGGCCCCATATACGACTGTGCCCCCAGGAGGAGGGCTGACCACAGGACGGCGACTGGAAAACGGCGCAGGAGCTCCCTGCTTGCCACACTCGCCCGGCAGTGCCAAGTCCCAGTGGCCAAGTGACTGCTTCTGCTACTCAGTGGGCGAGAGGAGTCCCTCCCACCCGACGCACCAGCCGCGGTGGGGGTGGACACAGAGCAATTGGCCTCCGCCCGAAGCTGAGAAGCAAGGGATGTGAGGAGACGCTCTCCTTCTCCCGGATAGAAACTGTATTCGCGGTCACTCCTCCACCCAGTGGGTCGCAGGTGGCGCGGCTGCGGCAGCAGCACCCCGGGGATCCCAGGCAACGCCTCCTCTCCTAGCTGCGGGCATTCCTCTCCTCCGCGCCCCGCCCGCCGCTGGGGTAGCTCCCGGGCCCTGGCTACTCGCCTGGGTTCTCCTCCTGACCCTCGCGCCGCCTCCCCCGAGGCCCTTCCCCCGCCCACTCCCCCAAACACGGGGGGACCGCGGGCACCCAGACCTCCCGCGGCAAACGCCCACCCCGCCGGCCGCACCGCCTCTTCCCAGGCCCCTCCCCCTGCAATAGTGGCGGGGAAGTCACGCCGCACACCGACCCCCAGAAGCCCACCTTCCTCCCTGACCTTTCCTTGGGTCCCTCTCTCCTCCACCACCCCTTCCAGTCTCCAAGCCTGGACGCCCAGATTCGTTCCAGCTTCCTAAGAGCAACTCCAAGCGTGCGGGAGAGAGTCAGTTACCCGAGTTTGTTCAAGAAATACACCCGCGACACCCGCTCCTAAAACGCCGAGGCGCGGGTTCAAGAGCGTCAATGCGGACACCGGGTCACACCCACCGGGGTCCGTGTGCGGGGGCCCTTTCCTGGCCCTGCTCCTCGGGTCCCGCGCCTGCGTTGCTCTTCCCCTAAAGGGAGGTTCTGCGATTCAGGGAGTGTCTCCTCTTCCCTTCCACCTGCGCTCAACCAGCCCGACTCCGGCTCCCGGCCCCTTCCCAGTCCTCGCTGTCCGGGGAGAACGCCCACGTTTCCACCCGCCTGGAGTTTCCCAAAGACACTGCGGGTGCCCATATGCATTTAGGCCTCAAGGGCTAGGCGCCGCGCCCCGCACCCACTCACTGACCCCCGGGCCATCAGAGGCTGAAAACTGCCTACGCCCAGGCAGACCCGATGGAACTTGATTCTGGTGGCTAGACTTCCCCCCATCGAGACACCGGCACACCCTAAAGCCACACACCTCCCCAAGACGCGCTGACTATTGAGCCCGGCTGTACCCGCGGAGTAGGCGACCGACCCGCGCCCGCTCGCGCCACGTGGCGGGGCTGAGCGCTCCAGGTGTTGGTCCGCGCGCCCGGCTTGGCCAGGGCCACTTCCCGGCCCGAGGTCTTAGGGCGAGCCCGAGAGGTAGACGGGAGGTTTAGGAGGCTGGGTACTCACGATTCCACCTTCCGCCTGGAGAGCCCGAGGGGAAGCTCCGGCAGGCTCGCCTCGGTCGGCCGGGCGTATTCTTACTACTACTATTACTCTTATTTAAATAATACCAAACGATGTCCTTTCCACGTTCGCGACTGCTCTCTCCGGCTTTCCTCTTCCTCTGGCTCTGGGTCTTTCCTCTCGCCCGCTTCTCCCTCCCTCTCCCTCTCTCGGCTCTGCCTCCTTCCCCAGCGGGTAATCCCAGGTCTCACCACCTCCCTCTGGCGGCCGCTCGCTCCGCTGCGGTGGGCTGGCGGGGGGTCGCCCCAGGCCCCACGCGGGACCCAATCCACGCCCGGACCGTAGCCTCCGTCCTTTAGCCAGGTATTGGGAAGTGATGAGAGTGTGGGTGCGAAGCAAGGCGAGCGCCGAGGGTATTAGCAGAGCCCCCCTCTGTGATCCCTACGCTTCGTCGCGCAGAGGCCCGGCGAGACCCCAGCGTGCGGGAATGCGTGCTCCAACCTTGTGAATGAAGAGGGCAGAGAGGTGCGTGTGTCGGGGATGCGCCGCACAAGGAGGGATTGCTCAGTCCCTGGAAAATCTTGCCGTGGATTGCCCCGCCTCTGGAGGGCAGCCTCCTACCTTCTCCCTTTCCCAGGGTTCTCCTTGGAGCTCTCCACCTCGGTGCAACCTCCGTCTCTAGCTGTCCCACCCGCTCTGGGAAGGGGGCTCCTCGCCCACTCTTGGCTAGCGGGAGCCAGAGGCCCCACCTATGGGGGGGGGGGGGGACGACGGCAGGAAGGGCTATCTCCCGGCTCCGGATCCTGCCAAGACCCTCCGCAGCCTCCCTCCGTTCCCAGGGGACTCGAGAATCCGGGATAAAAGAGGGGTGAGGGCCCGAGAGCGGAGGAGGAACCTTGTGGCCAGCTCTGCGGGCACGGATCGCCGAGCGTCCCTATAGTCCCCAGGTTGCCCTCGGGAGCGAGATGCAGTTGGGCTGCCGGGGCCGTGCGCCCGAGCTCCAAGGGCTAAACTGAAGCTGGAAGCTGACCTGACACAAAAATAACTTCACGTCATTTCCTCCCCGGCCTCTCCAACCCGCAGCAGCCGGAGGGCAGGGGAGTGGGCTTGCAAGAAGGGGGCGGAGGCCCCTTTGAGGGCGGCTGGGAGGAGGGGGAGGAGAGCGGCTCGCCGAGAACCAGAGTTTGAGAAGCAGCCTCAGGAAGGATCAGGGCTTCCTCCCGCTTCCAAGGACCCTGGAAGTAAATGGCCCAGGAAAAAAGTAGCTCCGAGGGTTTCCTGAAGGGAGGGGTGTCAGGCGAGTCACCGGCGACTTTTCCTGGAACGTGCTCAGCCTGTCTCTGCTTGCTGGCCTGGCCGGAGCCCCTGTTGGACCCGCGTGGAATGGCTCAGTGGGGGTTAGGAAGGAGCTGGGGAGGAGGCCAGGGTTGGGCACGGTGGAGTCAGCGGTACTCACGGGCATGGATGAGCGCTGCCCAGCGCTGGCATCCTCTTCCCGGGGCGAGCGTCCCCCTGAGGGTCGGCCAGGCAGTGTCAGAGCCGCCCCGAGCAGGAGCGAGAGGCGGCCCCGCCGCTCTGCGCGCCCGCGTGCGAGTCCAGCGGCTGGCAGGGAGGGAAGCAGGAGAGAGAAGTCCGGGCGCCGCTGGAGAGCCTCAGGAGGGGGTCTCCCGAGCAGATGAGAGAAGAGCCGCACGAGGTTGGAGAGCGTGCTAGAAAGGAGGCTGAGTAGCTTCGGGGCAGCGGATGAATCTGGGACCTGTGCAGGGCCGGAGAAGGGAAGGGCGAGAGGTGGGGGAAGGAAACAAACCCAGCGCACCGTTACTGATGGGCCCAGCCAAATACAGACTGGAGAAAACGTGCACTGGGTGCCATTTATTACAGCATTAGAGGCCCAATGCACGAAATTCGTGCAAGGGGCTTGGCCCTCGCAACCCCAGCTTCGTCTGGAAGGACGTCTGGTAGGTCGCTCGGCTGTTCGGTCTAATTAGTATATTAGCTCTTTATTATATAGGATTACTTTGGGGATGCTAGAGAAGGTTGGCGAGAGCAAAAGGAAAGGTCTTTCCCCTTACTTTCCTTTCCCCACTTTCTTCCCTCTTTCTTCACTTCCCTCTCTCCCTCCTCCCCTCTTTCTAACTCTGCACTATTCAAAGTGTGGTCCTGGGAGGAGCAGCTTCGCTAACAAGGACTTGTTAAAAATGCAGACTCGTTAAAAATGCAGAATCGTGGACTCTACCAGATCTACTGCATCATTAACATTCTCAGAAGGTTCGGTAGATGTGAAACGCTGTGTATAGAAGGGTCTGTGTGCACATCTCTTGATTCTTTAGAATTTGGGTGAAAATCTCCTAGTTCACGTTTGCAACTCTTGCTCTTCTATCTCTCATCCCCTCTCTTTCTCTGTCCTTTACCATGTAGAACTCTACCCTCCAGAGGTACAGAGATGGAACTGGTTACCAATATCCATTGGGAGAGGTGTCTGGGATTCCAGACCCATCTCGTGCTGGAGGGAGAAAGGGCCTGGCTGAACTGACTTTGGTTGTGCTGCGTGGGGTCGGTGGGATGGCAGACCAGACCTGTGTTGGGTCCCTTAGGTGTACACGCTGCAGGTACTCTTCACACACTTGTGTGTCCATCTTATTCTCTGGAACACAGGCCTTTCCACCTTCCACTTGTTGCTCAGGAGACCTAAGCGGCCAGGGTGAAGATAAGATCTTTACTTTTTCTCCCCCCTTGGAAAGTAGAGGGAAGCGTTAATTTAGAAGTTAGAAGTCCAGGGTCCTGGACTCAGACTTGCAACCAACTTGACCAAGGCTCACCTTGGGAAAGTCTCTTTACTCTTTGAGACTATCTGGTTCATTTATAAAGCAAAGGGATTGAACTCGGCGGTTTTTTAAGGTCGCCTGCCTTATCTAGGCTCTCATTTTTGAAAAGCTCTCAGGACTTCTTGGTCCACTAACATTTAGTGAAGTTTCAAACCGGAATCTAGCTCAGCCAATCCAAACAGCCTCCTCAAGCAAAACAAAAAGGCAGTTTAATCTGATTGTGAAAAGCTGGAGTGGCCCTTGCCAAGAAAAATGGAGGTGGAGGAGGGAAGCAGGGAATAAAAGTGACAGGAAGGCTAGGCTCGCGCGAAGGTAGAGGCGCGCGTGACGTGGCGTGGCGCGGTCTGCAGGGCACAGCGACCGCTCTCCAGGGTCCTGAAGACGTCTTGGCGCGGTTCCACCGCTCCGCAGTCGCCAAGTCCCCCATGTTTTCTTTCCTTGGTGGAAGTTTTGTGGGAAGCGATTGTCAAGAGGGAGGGAGGAAACCTAGCAACCCATTCTCATTCATGAGGCCCTTTCTGGGAAGCTGCCTAGCGCGTTGGCTGATTTGTCTTTAGTTCGTTTGTATGCGCCCTGGGAGAGATTGGAGCTCGGCTTGCATTTCCGAGTAAGTCCATACTGTTTGATTTCCCCTCATTACTTTTTCCTGGAGAATGAGATCGTTCTTCTAGTATTTTCATTCTTCTCGTCCCCTCCCCCACTTTCTGGCTTGGCACCTTTATTTTAGCGGTTGTTGCTGGGAGCTCTGGAGGCGGGACAAGAGCGATTCCGAAAAACGTCTCAGAGCCTCCCTTGGTGCCCAGCGTTCATCTCAGGAGGACAAGGGATTCGCCCCTTTGGCTGGGGTTTGGGGTGGGGGTCAGCTGACCCCAAACGAGCTCGGCTGCTTTGGGGCCGCTGGACCTGGGCGGGTCGCGGCTAACCTGGTGCGCACCTGCGGGATTTGGGGTGGCTGATGTGAGGGTGGCAGGCCAGCGGCAGTAGCTGTGAGTGCCTCGCTCGAGCGCTGTGCCACGCGGCCTCACTAACCTCAGTGAGGTGGGCAACGGGCGACTCTAAGCCAAGGAAGTCTAGAGAGGATCAGCTCATTCCCCGGCGACTCAGAGCTTGACTGAGCCTCCCCATGACCTTCCTGACCGGCCATCACACAAGGGCTTGGACAAGAAGAAAACGCTGAAAGTGAGCGGCAGGTACACTTCTTCGACACACGCCCGCCTCCACAAAACCTTCCTGGGCCTTTGGCGGGTCCCTGAATTTGCGTCTCCATCTCTGTTTCCAAATGGTTTTGTGAAAATGTGTGAAGCTGTATTCTGACTTCTCTCTTCTCCTCTTGCCCCAGCCCTTCTTTCTAAGACATTTGCAAACACTCCTCCCTCCCCCCTTGTTCCATGCTTCATTAGGCATTTTGTTTCAGTCCCGCGCTTCAAGACAGAGACACTAGTGAGGGAGATGGAGGAAATGTCCAGGCAGAATGACAATCCCAGACTCAGTCCCAGAAACCCAAAGCCCGGGCTCCTTTGCTCTTCAGGAGACATTCTCCTTTCACCCTTCCCTAGATTGATCTTTCCCCTCCAGATCAGCAGCCTCTCCCCTATTCTGGCTCTAATTAGTGGGGGTGTGACAATCCATTTACTTCTTTTGGCCCTTCTAGCAAGGGCCGAGCTACCCGGTATTAACGCAGCCACAAAGTCCTACCTGAGCAAATTTATCTGAGGAAAGACCTTCATCTGCCCTAGATGCTGATCTTTCCTTTCTTTTAGGCCTCTCGATTCTAGATGACAGTCTGAGGATTTCAAAGATATTAGCTACAAAAATAAAAAAAGGAAAAAAAAAGGAATTATCTTGGAATCTGTGTCCCTGAAAGCACTGGTCCTTAGGGATCAAATGACTTAGGGAATACTTTATTCTGATGGAATGTTCGCTTCCCTGATTAATCATGTTGGCTATTGAACCATGCAGAGCAGAAAAATCACAATGCCCCAAGTCAATACAAACAAAGTCTCATCCCTTGAAAGGCACATTGAAAGTTTTCATTTACTCCTAAATAGTACCATTTCTTAAAGGAAGCATCCTTAATGGAGTACAGTGGGCCTCTAATCTAGCATGACTGGTGTCCTTAAAAAAAGGGGGAAATTTAAACACAGACATGTACATGTGAAGGTGGAGGCAGAGGTCACAGTGGTGCATCTACAGGGAAAGGGATGTCAAAGATTGCCAGCAACACCAAAAGCCAGGAAGAGGCATGGGATAGACTCTCCCTCAAAAGGTATTTGGTGACAAGACTGAAACATGGAAACCCCAACTGAGTGTTCAACCTCCTGACTTGCCTTATAGATTTCAGACTTGCCAACCTCCAGTATATTCTATTTGTTCTGGTTCTCTGGAGAACCTTGACTAATACACTCTATTATAGGTTTTATCATCTTTCACCTGGACTATTAGGATAGCCTCATAACTGGTACTTCTTCTCCTTTGCCTCATTCTCCCTTGTAGTACAGTCTCAATACTGAAGCCAGACGTAGCCTTCAAAACGTAGGTCAGATGATGGCACTCTACAACTTCAAACTTTCTATTGGCTTCTTATTTCAGAGTAAAATCCAAAGTTCTTACACTAGCCCTCAAGGCACTATGTGAATGGTCCCACCCTACCTCTAAGATCTCCTTTTCTATACAGCTATCACTAC